TCAACTTTTCTGCCGGCCCCGCATGCCTTTCCGAATGGGTCATGCGCACAGCTGCAGACGAGTTTGTCAACAAGGACAAGACCGGAATGGGTATCATGGAGGTAAGCATTCTACACAGCATTCCTTCCCGTACCTCTCGCTCACTTCACAGTTCCTCACGCATAAGTCTAACATCCCCCCTAATTCTATTAACAGATGAGCCACCGCGATCCCGGAGGTCCGGTCCAGAACTGCATCTCATCCGCTGCTGACCGCATCCGCTCATTGCTCGATGTCCCTTCCAACTATCACATTCTCTTCATGCAAGGAGGCGCACACGGCCAGTTTGCCGCCATCGCCCTCAATTTGCTCGGTGACAAGGTGCAAGCCGACTACATCAACACTGGCTACTGGAGTCAGCGTGCGGCCACGGAGGCCTCCAAGTACTGCACAGTCCGTTACGCCTATGACGGTGAGAAGGACGGCTTCTCCGTTCTTCCCCCCGTTGAGGAGTGGGACATTTCCGAAGACTCGGCCTACATCCACATCTGCGCCAATGAAACTATCCATGGCGTCGAAGTGCTCGAGGATCCCCAATTGCCGGAGGGCAGCCCACCACTCGTCGGAGACTTCACCTCTACCTTGCTTTCCAGGAAAATCGACATCAGCAAGTATGGTTGCATCTACGCTTCCGGAGGCAAGAACTTGGGGCCGGCCGGCGTGACAGTTATCATCATCCGCGAGGACTTGGTCGGCATGGAATCCCCGATGTGCCCATCGGTGCTTTCTTACACGAAAATGGCAGCCAGCAAGCCGATCATGTCAATCTACAACACTCCGCCGACCTTCCTCATCTACATGGTGGATCTGGTACTGCTAGACAACATGAACTCAGGCGGTATGGAGTATCTGGAGCAGAGGGCCAAGGATCGGTCGTCACAGATCTACAACATTATCGATGAATCCAACGGGTTCTACAAGGCCAAGTGCAAGGACGCCAAGTTCCGGTCGAGGATGAACGTGCCATTCCGCATCGGCGCCGGGGATGGCGACAAGGAAATGGAGGCGTTATTCTGCACTGAGGCGGAGAAGCGAGGTCTCCTACAACTGTTCTGCCACCCCCTGTTCCCAGGATGCAGAGTAACACTGTACAACGGAATTCCGGACAAGGCCGTGGACGCGCTGACTGACTACATGATCGAGTTTGCGAACATGTACGCGCCGTCCATGATGCAATAGCCCCCTGACCCTGGGTTATAGAGCTACAGCGCAGGCTTGAAGGAGGCTATCGTGACCTTGGCCTGACGCTCTTTTAGGTGCTATGGATTAGTCGATGTCGAGGTCCATCTGGAGGTGACCAGCTCCTCCCGACGCTCATGTGGGGTGACGTGCTGTCGACACTGAGCGTTTTTCTGGGATGGTTGGTGCTATTCATCGTTCAACTAGCGGTTGGTTTCATTCCACTGCGAAGTTGTCACTCCCTTATCCTGCCGGAGGCGACCCTTGTATAATAAAACGAAAGAAGAGTAATGTGCGAAAAGACGAGTCTGTGCAAATGGCTGAAAGAACTTTTCTCTGACATCGACCTCAACGACTCGCTGAAGGCAGTCTCTTCAATACAGTATCGTAGACGCAGAAGGGCACGTGGCAGTAGCGCGGGTCGAGCATGTGTGACAGCGCGACAAGCTGGCATCACGCGAGACGTCCTCGTGCCGTAGAACACGGAAGTGAGCCGGAAAAAAAACATGTAAGGCAGGTGCATAATTTTTGTTGATGAAAAAATTATTGGAAATGCTTTTACTCCCGTTCAACCAATCCATTCATGCCAAATGTCCGGGTGCTCTGGTACTGGCACCGCGAACTCTTCGTTAGGAACGGCCCTGAGAGAAGTGGAACAACTGATGGGGGCAAGGCTTCAGAAGTTTCCACGTGTCATTTTGGGAACAAGCAATTAGTTTGCCCTGAATACACACACACATGTGTCAAACATACCACTCTTGACACATGACACGTTGCTTACGTTTCTACTTGTGTACGTCTTCCACGTGGACACGAAGTACAGGTCTGCGACGGGTTGGTCCTGGAAGATCTTGTGTTCGGGTGCTCACGTGAGCTCCGAGTACTCATTTATTGTAGCACTTCGCTCTCCGCGCCCGTCGTTATCCTCGTCCAGGTGTTGCAGCAACTCCTAACGAACGATTGTATCCCCTCCACACAGCACAATAGTCGCATCTACAATGCCGATGGAACCCAACCGTGCTCGATGTGCATGCACTATCCTTTTGCAAAGGCAGCTGCGGCAACAGCTCGACCATCCGCCAGATCAAGCTCCTCATGATTCACAACATCTCGCTCACTGCATTTGGAACGATATTATTTGTCTCTGACAGTCGAAATTGTCGGTCGAATGCGTAAACGGACACAATCAAGCGACACAGATTCACCATTCGGGGCCGACGGGTCGGACATCTGTCTGCTGTCTCGTTCTCTTCAATCACCCTCTCCGTTGATATCGCCTCATCTTCAACAGCTATGAACCAATCCCGGCAGCAACTGCAAGAGTTGGAATTCACTTTCATGCCGTTTGCAGTCTTCAAACGCGATTCACGCGCCTTGAACCCACCAATACCGCCTTCCGCCAGCTTACTTAAGCGCTCATCACATCCTCGAACTCTCGCCCCCTCACTTTTCCCACCATCATCATCGCAAGACGGTCTTCCTCTTGCCTCCAATCTACCCCCGCACACGGCCCGCCGATGACATCTGGACGCGACGAGCCGCGCTCCCCTCTCACTCCCTCACAAGTGCACACCCCCGCCGAAAGCATGACCAACTCCCCCGACGCCCTTGCTTGGGACGAAGTCGCCGAAGCGCTCGACCTCCAATCCTTCGACGACTTTCCCGGCAAGCCGGAAGCCGACTTCTTTCCCCCGCTCGACCTCTCCAACATCCCGGCTCCGGATCTCAAGCCGGCCCGCGTTGCCACTCGTCCACCAGCGCATCAGAGCAGCGCGCCGGTCGCCACGGTAAAGCGCCAGACGCGAAAGGCCGCGGCACGGAAGGGCACTCGCAAGGGCAAGCAGGAGAAGAAAGAGATTGACCAGCCGCCGCATGTCGTCGATGGCGAGATTGATCGCTTTCCAAGGCTCAAAAACGTCACCCCCCTCGTGCGACATCGTCACGTAGATGCGGGCGTGTACGCTAAGGACGAGGTGCGAAGGGTTGGTGATATGCAGGCTAGAGGGCCAGACCCGTTCTCTCCGCGGGCGAACGCAGGAGGTATGGCACCGCCGAATAGCTTTTACGATTCTGCAGTCCCGCAACAATTCAATTTCAGAAACTATGCTCCCTTTCCAGGGAATCACTATGGATTCCTTCTTCCCCCCGCCAACCAGCAGCAGGACCTCAGGAACAAACCGTGGACCCCTGACCTGGAGCGCGGAAATCCATATAACTGGATTCCCAACCCGCACATGCACGACCAACTGGCATTCCCCCAGCAGTTCAATGGCATGGCGCCATGGTATGGAAGTATGTCGTTCCCGACGCAGCAAATGCACCCTCAAACGATGTTTCCGCAGAACATGAATCAAGACCAGTACATGTCTCCCTCACGTCACTCGAACCATCCTGCGCCGCGGTGCCGGGCGCCGCCTCGATCGCATCCGGTCGCCGCTCTGAAACATGCAGCCCGAGAGAATAGACAGGTACCCAGCATGGTTTACGAGGCGCTTCTTAGGAAGAAACACCTGCTGGCATCGCTCCACAACGCGGACAATGCGCCTAGGGGCATCAGGGCACAGCCCAAAGGCGGTCGTCCTGCACAGGCCCCCCCTGTCGGACCTCATGGCACTTCTGACGGCGTGCAAGAAAACGTCGCGCAGCCTCCTCACAATCACCGTCCCGTTCCCGACTTGGCAGTGCTAAAGCGTACGCTGGAGAACATCAATAAGTCCAACGCGACGAAGAAGTCAAGAGCTCAGAATCGTGCCAAAAATTGTCGACAAGCCAAAAAAGGAAGCAACCAGCAGGGCGCAAAATTGCCGCACAACACTAGCGCCGACGGCCAGGGCCAGCGCGAAAGCATCCCCGTTCCTACAGGGGCGCCAGCTGACCATCCACCGAGACGACTCGCTCTCAATGGCGGGATTCAGAAACAACCCTATCCGAAGACGGGCGGAGCGCAGGGCCGCAACAAAAAACTCAACCGCAATTGGAGAAACTCGCAGACGCAGATGGAGGGGCGTACGCAAGTCGATGACCATTGGGCACAGCTTAGAGGCAGAAACATGCAATCAGGGCGCGGCAGCGGACGAGAGGCGCAGGGAGGAAGCTATCCGGTGGACCTTGCTGGACAGGGAGGACATTGTGCAAATGTCACTGTTGGAAATGGTGGCGGTTACTGCGGAGAGAATGCGCAAAATGGCGGTGGTCAGTATGAAAGTAGACGAAGCGTTTTCGACAGACTGGGATACAGGTAGAGCACGCAACGAGCATGTTCCCTCCTCTTCAGCGCGCTTGGGAGAGATTACTCTTTCAGAGTCTTGCGGTGGTCACAAAACCGAATCTACACCAGAACCTTACTACTGTACACCCTACGATGTGAACGGTAACTTCAGACAAAATGTCTATCCCTTGCGTCGAGCACAAAACCATGTGGTATACTGTACAATAGATATTAAACCACGACAGAATGCGGATGAGGCTACTGCATTGCGATAAGCTCAGCCTACAGTATCCCCCTCTCTACATCCATAACCAAGTAAAAAGAACTAAGTAAAACTTGCTTCACATATGGGCGTTCCGTCCGCTCCTTCTCCTGTTGGTGAACACGTGTGCCAGCACGAGCACGAGTAAGTGCAGCGGAAATCTCCCCCGCATGGCGGGAAGGGCGCGCGCGCCCATAGTCAGCAGCAGTCTGGACGCGGCAACAACCGAGCCCAGGACAGTTGCCCCTGCCGCTGCGACGACAGATGGGTTGATAATGGCATACTTAAACCACTCGTACCCCGCGAAGAACAGCCCAATCATCGGCATGTAAAACAGCCCTCTATGGAACGCGCCAGTCCACAGCGCACCAAACCCTTCGTACTTGACAATGCGCCTGCACGTCGCTATCGGCGACATATATTTCTTCGTCTCCAGGTAGCACTGCGGACTCTGTGTGGTCATACGTGTAACCAAGACGTCCGCAGGCGTGGTGAGAACGGCCGCTAGCAACCCTGCACCCGCCCCCGCAATGATTCCGAGTGGGAGACCAGCAAGCCCGAAGCCCATGAGCATAGTTTTCGCGGCCTCGTAGGCGGCAATTTGCAGGCCGCCGTACGGGACATCCCTCCACAGCACGGCTTCCCATGACGCGAACGTCGAGTCGATGCCCGTGGGCGACAAAAAGGAGTCCTTCACGGCGGACTTCCAGCTACTGGACAAGCCGAGCTGCAGGCGCTTGTTGACGATCTCCGCCGGCACTCTAACGATAGAGCCGACGGCGTCGCCCAGCATACCAGCCACGCACATGGCGAGCAGCGGGACGGCCGAGAAGAGCGGCATGCTAAGGAGGGCTGTCTTGAAGACCTCGTACGTCGCGAGGTAGATAGCGGCGTTTGGGGCCTCCTTGAGGATGTTTGAGAACACGCCCTTGTACAGGCGGGGCAGCGACGGCATGCCCTTCGGGCGGTCCGCGGGCGTGCCGGCGGAGCCCTCCGCCTGGCGCAGCGTCTTGAGCGTGTCGATGGGGTGCGTGACGGCGACGGCTGCGGCGCTAGCGAGCAGCGCGGCCGTGCCGGCGACCATGAAGGACTGCCCCTCCAGGCCGTGGCCCTGCACGGCGGGCTGCATCTTCGCGGG